CCCTCAAACTAATTGCATTTCCTGTCGGTTCTGTGGACGGGGGATTTCCACAAAACGCATAAATTAACAACAAGCACAACTTCCGATAGACAATAGAACAAAATAACATAAAATAAAATGGAACAAATGAAGCAGAAGAGAAATAACAATCAAATAGGGGAGAACAATTCGAATTCCATTCATCCCAAAGTGGAACCAGGGACTTCTATTTAGAACAAATTCCAGTCAACTCAAGGGGAGTTGTCAGACCCGGGAACTGGGTACTGAGAGCCGTTAAAGCGTGACGAACGGAGTTTTGACTGCAGTACTGCCCCCATCAGTTTCGACCGTAAATGACCGCCAGAGCAGTGGCGTAGATAGGGGGAATATAAAAGGGGTTTTCCCCAACTTTATGTTATGGCAAACATTTCTGACATAAGGCAGATTTTTCTATTTCTATTGTAGCAGGAAATGAGTTGTAAAGTGCATTTAACGTTCCCATTAAAATATATATATATTTTTTTTTTTTTCATTTTTATAGGTTGACCATTATTTATTATTTGTTCAGTTACTCTGAGTAATTTACTCTGAATTGCTTAATTTAACATTTTTTAGTACTTTGTTCTAATAACCTGTTAATTTTATACAATAAATATTTTTTATTATTTTTAGTATAAAAAAGTCATGATCATAAATATAGTAAAGATTTCATTTAGTGCAAGCTTAGGCTTCTGATTATAAGGCCCCGTTGCCTTTCTCTATTGGATTTTAAAATATCTTTTGGAAGAATTTATAACCCCCTTGCATTTCTGCACTGTGACTATCAGAATACCACATGCTGCACAACTCCATTGGATCCCAAGCAAAGGAAGGGGAATTTTAATTAGTCTTGCTTTAGCATGTTTATGTTGTTGTCTGTAGTTTATGTTGCCTAATTTAATGCGCTGTGCAATTACATTCCTGACCAGCGTTGAAGCTCGGACAACTGTACCACAATACTCCTTCGCAGCTACATAAAAAAGAAGACGTGAGTGTATAACTCTATTGCATTTTTATAGCCCTTCTAGACTACTCAACGACATCGAGAACGGATGCTCTAGAATAACAACACTGGAGTTTTCCAAACGGTTTTCTAGTTAAAATCCATAAAACGAAGAATACTTTCGAGTTTTTGTTGAGAGTCATTAGAACTTGCTGAGGCGTATAATAATAAAAAATGTGCATAAATTATACGTTGTAATCGAGGAGGAAAGGAATAAAGATTCATTAAGATTCGGTCAGTGAAGCGCAGATAACTATAAATAAAAGAAAAAAGAATTTCATGGCTTAAGAAGTTCTGTAAAAAAATGTAAAACTTCTAGACATTTTATTTAAACTTGTTAATAAAGAAGTGATTACTTATTATAATACCACATAAAACGAAAAGAGAATGTCAATGCTGTTAATACAAAAATAAGCAATATAGCTTATTAGTAATTCAGCATGTTTGCGCGTTTTGTTTGCAAACACTTGTTAGCATATAGCGTTACTTTTCCCTGCCTTGATTTGCAATTTCCTGTTTATTATCCAAGCATTAACAATAAACAAACATTACTATATAGCAATAAAAAAAAGTGACGCATATATTTATGGGTTTTTATATATTTTTTAGCTAGTCATGACTTAAGAATCAAAAGCCTTGACCACTTGCTGCCAGTCAAGACCTTCGAATGCAAGTGCAACGTCATTTTTGCAGCTATTAGCTAACAATTCAATGCATCCGAAAGGTATATATCTCGATGTATTTATAGTGTTCGCCTCTGCCTTATCTAACCCACCCGAGTGACGAGCAGACAGTCTCATCTGTTCTATATAGAATTACGCGTGGCACATACACAGCCTCAGGCAACAGATTTCGTAATCTTCTGGCAAAAGTGGGTTGACTTGGGTTTGGTGGGCAGGAGAGAGGGTTATGGGTTGGTTACGATTCTGCCCTGCCGTCTGCTTTTCGCTTAGTGTGTCAATCTAAATATATACTCGTTCATTGTTTCACCGCATTTCAATTGTGCATTTCATTTGGGCATTACAATCTCAAGAGATCTATGCCAATTGATCAAGAGATGGACGGGCAGGTGGGAACCAGAGACAAAACGTCGAACTGTTTTACAAATAGTTTCTTATCGCCTTCGATCGTCCCATGTGGGTTCGCATTAATTTGTGGGAATGAAATGAATGGCGTTGAAAGGCGATGATTTCTCGGAGGTTAACAAACTAACGTGAACTAGTTTTATTTGAAACTATATGAATACTAACTGCATGAACTAAAAATTTTAAAATTATTCATACTTTCCGTGACTACATTTTGTATATAGGGGGTGAATAGTTTAGATAAACTGCAAATTTTATATTATTCTATTATATATTTTAATGGGTGGTTGTTAAAAATCTCAATCAGAAATGTTTTGCTTGTAAAAATACAATATATTTTCCTCACTTCTTTGAATATTTTGATGTGAAAACGAATAGAGCAACTCCACTTCTTTATCTCAGAATTCATCCCAACGACGATTTCCATGTGATATCTTTAGCTTAATTGTTGCTACGTGTATTTTCAGAAAAATGTTTGTACTCTTGGGGTAATTGTTGCTTATTTGCCTGTATGCTTGCCTGCCAGTCTGTTGATCGTTTGACCGATCCGTTGCGCTTGGCTGTTGTATAATGTCAATTACTTGTGATTTACGACAGTTTAATGATAGACGACTATGCTCATGGGTTGGCTCGATTTTCTTATGGCGTGTATGCGTTGAGGGCCAGCAGGAGAGGAAGGAGCCGAATCGCATTCACATAATAGTCGCTACATGATGCGAGCTTAGCATGTGATGGATGTGATATTTCAGCTCTCGAATGGTGTGTTCTTGTGCCCAGTGTTGCATGTAATTGGCTCATAAAACTTTGCCCAAGTAAAAAAAAAGCGGAGAGAATAGCCTTTGATGGTCGCGGAGAACCTCAACTCCTTTCAAAGGGCAAATCGATTAGGTGGCCAAGCTCACTTTGATAGATGTCAACAACTTTTCTCATCAGATAAGTGTCGCAGAACGTAAGTCACGTAATAAAGTTAACCTGAACTTATTCTGAACATGAATATGCACCGATGCCTCATCATTTGATTATTCATGAGACAAGTCCAAAACTTCAGGTGTTGGTGGCTCTTCCAGTCGCACTAAATTTCAATTAGTCATATAAGGGAAAAGCTTTTTTGTTTTATTTTTATTTTAAAGCTTAGCTAATTCGCCCATTTGGATAGTAACGAGTTTTTGAAGTGGGGGCGCCAAATTTCTCTTTGAGGTGACGCCAACAAATGGACAAAGCAAAGTCGATAAATTAATCGAAATCTTTGGGTCACTAATCAAGTGGAAAATTAAATAGCAGCTTATTAAACGTATTACGAAAGTTTGAATGCCAAATATTCATAAAGCCACCTATTTCATTAATTTTTTTGCAATAAAAAGAAATTACTAATAGTCATAAACAAAACAAGGTACTGAAGCAATCTTTTGTGCCAAACGCCATTATAATAAATTCATATAATAATAAATATGAAACATAATAAACTGTCAAATTAAAGAAGTCATAAAATGAAAAATGAAAGATAAGTACAAAATATTACATAATTAGGTAGCAACAACTTTACAATTTCTTTTTGTGAGATAGCTACAACATGAGTAAGCCAACAGGTTCTGTTTTAAGTTTTGCGAGATGTTTTACCTTGTTCTTTCCAACTTTGTTTTTTTTTCTCTAGATGGCTGTTTTTGGTTCTAAGCTAAGAGACCGACCACCGACTGACTACCGAAAGGGAAACGAACTCATTGAAATTCTTGACAGGTTAGGCGCGCGAATTGTGTGGCATAACAAAAGAAGCACATCAAACCCATCTGTAGAATAAAATAGAAAGGGGAAGACATGGAAAGACGTCAGTTCTTAGGAGCTATCATCTGTTTTGGAGGGAGGACGACCTCATGTGGTGAGCTCTCTACGTGTTGCAGCCACTTTTCCCGCCTTTTAACGCTTTTCCTTTTAAGGCGGCGCCACTGAACCCACTAAGTCCTCGGAAAGTTAATTTCCAACTGCCTTGACAGTCGGCCACTAATAAAAGCTAAATATTGCAAAAGTGTTGATCCCACAAAGTAGAAAAGTTTTAATTAGAAAAAAATATCCTAGCATAATAAAGAAAAACTTTTTGTAGAAACTTTAAGTCCTGCAAAATGGGTGGGCATGGTCGAGTGGGTTAAAGGCAAGGACCTAGGACAAAAGCCAGAGCTCAATGACAGCAGCCACAGTGGCAGACAATATAGTTGACACATATTGGAGTGCATATTCATATTCATATTCATTGTTTATCGCATACAGGAAGCCGGGGAAAACTCGACTCGGGGTTATTACACTCCCCAGCAGACAGCTTCTGTCAGCCAATGCACTGATTTGTAATTGTTCCTTTTATTATTCGCTTTCTATCTTCGTTTCATGTATTTATCAAGCCGCAAACTTACTGGCTGATTAGAGAGTCGCGTCGCGTTGACGTTGCCACTCAGAAGTGGGTCACCGATTTGTTGACTCCAATGGGCGGCACTATAAAAAGTATCACTTGGCGGCACATATTGATAACTCTCGTTGGCAGTTGCACTTTAGGTTGCATTATGCATTTGGCTTTTTGTACCACTTGGCGTCTCTTTGTCATTTGGCTGGTTTTATGGTAGGAATTTACGATAGTTTGGGGGAGTGCTGATTCCATATCAATCAATCGGTTTCGTAGCAGTAGGTTAGTAGAGCAATTACGCCCAGATAAGGTAGATTTTGAATGAGGCTAATGGGAGATTATTGACTCGGCGACCAATGACCCATGCTGCGATTTCGAAACAAAGGCTTGTGCAAGAACTTCTGCCGCCATTCGATACGCCTCGCAACAAAATTCAATTAATTATTTTTTGTGTTCCCTGTTTCGGGGCAACATGACACTCCAATCGGACTGCCAAAGTTCAACTCACCTTGTCCAAAACAAAAAAGGTTTAGTCTTGCGCAATTTCTTGAGACGTCTGCTAAAAAAAAACAAGAAAAATACTATGGTTAGATAAATGCCAGACAGAGTTACCAATCATATAAAAATAATTATTAATTACAGTCATCGAGACAACTTGTTCTAGCAAGGCTATTAAAATTAATCAAAGTCGTTGCGTTACAACGCATTTTCATGTAGGAGATAATAAATTGTGATACTTATTCTACCTGAACCACATAAACAAAGTGACACCCACCACCGACCAGGCAAAACTTGTCAACTGTAACGCAAGACAATCAACAAAAAATGCATAAATTAATAAAGAGAGAAAAAGGGAAAAGAGTCTATAATGCCTTCGAATGATATCGAGTGCGATGACGGGCCATGTAACTGCTGCAAATTGTCATGAAAGTCAGGGTTATTTACGGGGAGGCACCTTTGCGTAGACGAGGGAGTTTCGTACTATAGGCGGTCTGCTGCACGCAGCTAATTTCATGCTCAGTGGCGCAGTATCTTTTATAATTGATAGAGGCTGGGGCAAAGGCAGTAAAAGCAACTTTGTCCTAAAGTGGTTATATGATATCACAACAGACACAACTTGCCGGGGGCCAGACAGAATTACACAGACTGATGACAAAGTTGGTGAACTTTGGTAACATTTTACTTTGATGCAAAGAAGGAGATTGTGTCATGAAATACAAAAATTCTTGGAAAATATCATAAAACAAAAGTTCAAGCTAAGAATACAGTATTCTTTTAAGTTTTAAGTATTATAAGGTTTCATTTTGAAATAAACTGAAATCTAAAGCTCTATCCTGCAATATATTAAATGTATGTACAAAAATTTGTACCTTAAGTTTGCCTTAAGGGACCTTGCAGAATATTTAAAGTTCTGTCACTCCACATGTAGTAACCTCTTGGCAATAGCAAAACCAATTTTCCCAGTTTAATAGTTGTCAACACACAAACAACCCCATCAAGATATCTATTTTATGTACTTCATAACAATTTCTTACGCATTATCGCTGCTCTGACACACTCGTTTTACTTCTTTCTCCCTTTCTCCAAGTTGTAACCTCAAGTTCATTAGCACCCATAGAACCCCTCCTATTGCACTAAACTCGGGTAGTTACTACAACAAATTGCCAATCAACATCCAGCGATTGTCGTCGTAGTTGCCGTTGTCGTTGTCGTTGTCCTCGGCGTTGTCGTTGTCGTTCGTTGGCCCCAAAAAGGCGAACTATTCACCGGCAATCCCATTCCACCCACAACCAATCCTCCCTGTTGTAACAGCTGATGACACGCACTTTGCGTGTTTATTTAATAAATAAAAATTTGCATAAATTTGCCAATGTGAGTGAACGAATTGCAGAAGCGCTGTTGACATTTCTCCCTCTCTCGTGAAGCTTTGACGCAAAATTGAATAGAAATGCAAACAAATTTATTCTGCCATTCGTTATGGCAAAAAAGAAGGATTCATTGTGCTACAAAATCAAAATATAAATGAATGCCGACATACAATAAGTCATAAATGGTTATATTTATGGGCACCTAAATAATGGGAAGATTTGTTCAATATATATATCAAACGACAACTCAATTATTTTTATGGTCCTCTGACATTTTGGTATATGTTCGAGCATTGTATTTTAATTTAATTCTATTTAAAATGTATGTGTAGATATATAATATCGCCAATTAATCTCTAAAGGTAATACAATTACCAATCCGTTTAAGGTTCAAGTTTTAAGTCGTACTTCCAATGGATATTTAGATCTACAGTTCTAATATCCCTTCATTAATAAAGCTATGAGCAATACTCCTTTAATGTTTTAATGACTTTAAATTATCCAATTTAATCTCCCTTAAAAGCTTTTGCACGTGTGTACTCATATAATTAATTTATCTCAGCTTAGTGGAGCACTTCCCTCAATCCATTTGCCCCATTAGAGGTATGTTCTTAAGCCGTGTCTTGGATTGCCTTGAACCCAGCCTAGCCCCAAGTCTGATGTCAGCTCAAGTTACTTCTCTGCCATCCACTCATCATGTAAGCGATCAATCTCCAACTGCTTTGCATCATAACCCAGGCGAACTAATAACCCGCCATCAGATTTCTGGGCGCCCCGCTAAAGTGTAACTAATATGCGATCTTCGCGATGGCTAGACCGTAGTGCCTTTTGATTAATGGATGCCGCTACTGTTTCGAAGCGGGCAGAGCGGTGAAGATTTACAAAAGCATAGAAATTTATGCGCGTTTTGATTCGAGACGCACGACGATCGCAACGGATCGGATCTCAAAACAAAGCGAAGAGCCAGAGGCGCAAACTGCAAAATTATGGAAGTTGAGAAGATCGAGTTCTCGATCTCATTCTCCATCTCGTTCGGTGTGGGCTTTCATTTGGCTATGGAGTTAATCGACTTTAAGTGATTGGCCAGTGTGTTTGCCTTAAACGGCCAATCTTCAATGTTGAACAAAATCGTTTATCTTTTCCCCCTTTCGATGGCTATAGTTAGAACCAAGCTGGTTTCCTTTCGCCTAGTCTAAGCCCAACCTCAATTAGCGACAATCATTTTTCATTTGTCAGCAATCAGATATCAGACTCATACAAAAAATATTACTGGTTATCTGGTCATTATCTCAGAGACTCAGACTCAATGTCAAGTCAAGCCGGACCGAACCACTTCCCAAGTAGTAGTAGTTCTGTTTGCCCAATTCTCAGTGCAATTTTGTATCTTACAGATACACATAATAGTTGGTTGTGCTTTGCAGTTCTTTTCAAATATTCGTTATTATATAACGGGTTTTTCTCTTTTGTTTCTCGTTGCTGGCTTCGGAATAATTATTCCAAATATTCAAATAAATTATCAACTAGAACAAATGCCGGGGTGGAGATTAAAGAGGGGAGGCTGAACAGCTGCACAGTAGCTGCGATTTGCCAGCTTTTGTTGTTCACATTGTTGCACAAAAGTTTTACATGATAATAAATTTAAGTAAGCGAGGGTGGGATAGAGATAGAGGTAGAAATACTGGCTATTCGCCTTTTCTTTCTTTCCTTCGGCGGGGGTTTTGAGTGGGCCAGAGATGAGGCTATTGTTTGGCGGCTTGGCTTGCAATAAAGTTAGACTACACATTTTCTAGGGTGTCGGCTTGTCAAATGACAAAAGAGCACAAAATCCAAATGGTTATAAATTAGATTATAGAGGAATTCAGAACGAATGAAATTATTTCGTTTAAATGGGTTAGTGATGTGAAGACGAAGTTTTCTACTAAAAATAATTGCAAGGTTAGAACATTTGAATTTGATTTGTCAATGAGAGTTCTTAATTAAATTTACTTATAATTTCGTTATAGATAACAAAAAAAAAGCAATTAGTTATCCTTCTATTTATCCTTCATTCATAAATAAATCAGAAACCTTCTCGGAGATTATACCCATTTCCGGACAATACCTTTTGCATATTGAAAAGCCTTCGAGACGCGGCATTGGCGTGAATAATTATTCATATTCATTATGGCCATTAGCCATAATGCTGGTGAATGGAATAGCTTACACTTGTCTAGTTTTGTGTTGTCTTGTCTTTCCCCCCATTTTCCCCATTTACGGCATGGAATTTTTTCCGACAGGGGCCGAAAGAAAATGCAGCGCGTACAAATGCAAATGCCAGGCGAATGCCAAAGAGTCGCCTTGGGATTGGAGGTGTTGTCTTGGCACTTGATTAAAATGCACCGACAGCATTTCGATGGCCATAAGTGCGGCTGCAACTGCAACGATCTATGGTCGTTGCACTTGTGATAATTCTTGATCCGGGAATTTGCGGAAGTTTCACTTTACTTAACACACAGCTGGAGGGTGCGGTCTGAGAACTTTGCCGGGTATCTATTATACCCTCTTTTTCCGAATCCTTCGACTTTTGTAGTTTGCCGACCAGCTGACATATCAAATATTTAATTATCGCATGTTTTTACCTTTAAATTTATTCTTCTGCGGTTTGTTTATATATATATATACATATATGCTTTTGTTTTTTACGAGCGCTTCTCGTGTGCAATAACCTTGCCAACAAAAGCTCAACAAACTTGACATGGAAGCATTTTACATAAACACAGCCAAATCTCAACAAAAAAGGAATAAAAAAAAAGCGAAGCGCTCCATCTAAGATAAGTTCAAATTGGCATTATTTTTGATGTTTTTCGTTTCTTAAACCGATCTTGTTTAGCGCGGCAAGCATGAAAAGTGGCTCATTCAATGCTCTTGTTTAGCTCGATTTTATTGTAGTCACATATGTATGCACATTCATTCGTATTTTACGATGTTTACATTTCACTTTGTTTGTTGCGATTTATTTCGCTTCCTAGCCGCACAAGGCTGAGGTTGACTTTCACGCATCATGAAATCATCCGTCTCGTGTTGAATTCCATTTCATTACCTCCATTTACAGTTCTTTATTATTTTGTAATTCGAAATCGATTTCGCTTTGCAATTTGTGTGGAAATGGCTGAGCAACAAGGTTGTTGTTTGACTACTTATCGATTGTGTTTTTTGTAGCTTTATGGTTTTGTTTTACGAAACATCTTATCACAAAGAGGTATCAATTTTAAGTGGAAGGCAACGAGAACTTTGTGACAACAAAATAATGTAGAGTATCAGTTTTCAGATTTTAAATGTTTTATAGGTAGTAGAGATAGCAAAGAGTTTTTTCCCGAGATATTAATAATGATTATTAGCAGCCAACTCATTGTTGTTTCATTCGTTCCGGAAATATTTTCGGGAAATTGTATGACAAATTTTTCGACAAGTGATTTCTTCCTTGTTCGACAACAATTAATGGCATTTATTCCTTATCGCAACAGCTCGTTTCCAGCTGGTTTCGCAGTTTACATTGAAATATGCACGAAATGATATCGAGAAATGGTCAGAAAACAATAAACAAAGCTGTGCTCCCTCATTATCGTCTGAGAACATATTGCGACGCCAGAAACTTCATAGAAATGCGTTTTTAATTCAATATTTGTAGGAATTTTCTAAAAATGCAATAAATTGCAATTATTTATGCATACATTTTTGACGCTCAAGATAATGTCAGATTGAGAAAAATGAGTCTAGTTGGAATGAATCCACTTGCTATTCACTGCGCAGCCATTTGAATTTCATTATCGCGCAGTTGCTTTAGCTTAAAAAGCAGTTTAATGTATGACAGTTTATTTGCATAAAAACTAAATGCTGCGATGCGGAAAATATGGTTCAAGAATCTTTGTTCAATATTATATCAATAAGAAAGTAACAGAAAAATGTAATATATAATGTATCATAAGTTTACCTTAAATTATATAAGCTCGTGATGAATAGTTTCTCACTATATGTTCTTATCAAACATAAAGATTTCTGTAAAGATAAGAATTGATATTGATATAAAAGAACTGGGAATTAATCAATCAACAAAATAGTATAACTAATCTCTTTCCACCTTAATTTTTGACCCATTTATGTCATTCCTATTTTGACCCTGTTCCCACCGAAAACCCCCATCTTATCTCTTTACAAATTTTACTGTCCCCAAAATAAACCAAATCAAACAATAGTATTACCCCACATTCAAATTATGCAACGGAACCAGTGTAAATTCCTTTTATTTATACCTAATACCATCTCCACCTTATCGAGGTGCGTGTCTGCAACGTAAATATTTAACTGATAAGAAAGGGTAAATCAAATCTGCGGAATCCAACTTGCCTAATCAGTAATTGGGGGCGTTCATATGTGAGTCAGTTCTTGATAGCATGCGGGAATCCAATTTGTTATCACATTCGTTACATTATTCATAACATCAAACAAGAGTGCCTAATGCGTCTTTGGTATAAATTAATTAGAATGGAGGAACTTAATGCAATATAAAAAGTAATGAAATAAAAAAAAGGCTCTTATTTAAATATGTAACATAAGCTTTTAGGTCGTTAATTAAAATTATACAGACAAACATTTAAATTTAACAGCTAACACAATTTATTTACCCGCAATTAAAATACCGCAAATGTTTTATCAATGAAAGAAATACAATAAAAATAGTTTAAGTGAACCCACAATGAATACGTTTATCAGAAACTGATTAAGAAACATAAATTCAGCGAATTTAAAGCTAAAGACAAACAATAAATTAAGAGCTTTACTGCAGATATTGCCCCTCCTTGTGAATGGCAAAAATCGAAAGTGTCGACGGACGGGAAAAGATTTTGCAAGGCTCACAAATCTTGGGATCGTGTTGGGTCCGGGGTTTGTTTGCTTGGCTGTGAATCACGTCGGAGATTCAATATATTTTGTTTTGTTTCGTTTAATAATTTGCATGTCTGGGCAATTTTTCATTTTATATTTACTGAGCTTCCTTGGTTTCCCCATATTGTTTATGTTGCGAATGCAGCTGGCAGAGGCAACCACCAAGCCCCCAAAAAAATATACCCAATAAATTTGTTATATCCTGTCATTATTTATGATTAAAAAAACAATGATAAGCTAGAATTTAAATAGATTGTATTGCATTACGGAAAACAGCTCTGGATAATAAAAAATATACTATTGTGTTCGGTGAATGTGGGCACATAAAAATCACAACAAAATTGGCAAGTGAAAGCGCCAAAGAAAAAATTGCCACGAAAAAAAGATCAGATGGCTCCGCTGATCAAGCATCTCGGCAGCTGTTTCAATTTATTTTGATTTTGAATCTATTTTATGGACGACCAAATGGATTTCTATCGGTTTGAGTGTGCGCATAAAGTAAGGCAAGCAAATAAATTTAATTGTAGAGCCACTCCAACTGCTGGTCATAAAAATAATAATAAATCATTGCCATCAACCAAAGACGTAATCAACAATGTGAAGATCATTAAATTAATACTATTATTTGGGCATTCGGAGACTACCTACACACTTGCACCGAAAGATATCTGTTATGAAACAGTTCTCAAATCCAATTGACACTTTGGACAATGCCAAATCAGAGCGAGCCCAAAGCAGACATGGCAACAGTGTTTGCCAAGACGGAAAATCCAATTAGGAAAATCACATAGAGTCAGCAAAGCGCGTAAAACCAGAAAGACCCCAACAAAAAATGTGCGAGGAGAAGCGTCACTTATCTACAGTCCCCAGAGAGACAAGAGGAAAACCCGAAATGAAATGCAAACGACAAAAACAAATCTCTTTCAGCTGTTTTGCGTATTAAAGTATCCTGCAAATAAAAAATATGCTGTCTGAGCGCAGCTGCTAATTTAACAACAGACAGATGTAAAGAAATATGATTAACCGCAGAGTAACGATACAAAATGGGTGTTGCAACTCGCAATCCAAGTGTGCAACACCAAGCCAGGCCGAGAAAAGTCAAGCCAAAAGCCGTGGCCATTGCATGATTTTTCCACTCATAATGAAACCGAAAGCAGACAACAACTGCTGCGAAAATCTCCTCAACAGTTTTGGCGTAAATTAACGTAAAATACTCGAAAGCAGCTTGGCCAAGACACCAGACACATTGTACAGCCCCCATGGAGAGTGAAGTGCGGATTTGTAGTTTAGCTTAGCCGTCAGCTTTTGCCGTTGCCCCAACACACCTTGATTTACCTGCGCACAGTAGTGACTGCCTCCATCTCCATCTCAATCTCCGGCTACCGATCCCCTAAATCTAGCGGGCACGATCATTATGAGGAATAAACAGCATCTAAACGATTATGGCTTGGCTTCCAAAACGGCCAACAACTGCGACTGGCAGTAGTTAAATTTGTCGCTGGCTTATCTACCATCTAAAAGGTATCCTAAGGTGTTCAAAGCACGTGCAACCTGGTACTCATGTTGATGGAGATAGGAGAGGCATTCAATCTGCATAAAGCACTGTTAATACCCTTTTGTTTAAATACAAATTCTATAATTTATTTCACGAAGTAAGACAATGTTAATGGCAAAGAAAAGAAATACAAATTTTATATTGTCATGAGTAAAATAATTTTGCTGTCAAAGTTGTCTTTAAAAGCTAAGCTTAAATTTCTTTCGTATGTTTCCTTCTTTTTATTTAGAATGATAAAAAAACTGTATCCTACTTTCTTTTTACTTTTTTCTTTTAGAAAACCCTAGTTTTGGTGTTTCACAATACTTTTTTTTTGCAAAATCAACTTAAGAAATGACTCAAAGTGTGTAAAATGAACACAATCATTAACAAAGTATTTGATTCCTCATTACCAGCAACCAACGAAATCAAAAAAAGATTGCCAAAGAGGCAAGAAAAATGTAAAGAAATAAAACACTTTGTTGCCTGCCTTTCAGCAATTTCCAAAACACATTTTGGCCAAAAAAAAATATCTTAAGAAAATAAATGTTAAAAATTATGGTGCGCAGCAAAAACTATTTTTTTGTAATTATTTTATGGTTTGAATTTCTTTTGCAGCCCCCTTAACGCCACTTCCACCCACTTTGACGCCTATCGGTGAGGTGAATTGCGAGTACGCCTACTTTTTACATCATTTATTATGTGGGCAAACTAATAATGAATGCGTTTGGCCAAAGAGGGGTATATTTTTGAAGGGGACTGGCGATATTGCATGTTTTCAAGTGGCACGCTTCGTTGATTGCTCCTGCGTTTGTCGAATCACTCGGCTGCAACCAAAACCAAATGTATGATTCAATAAATCTCTCTTTGAGTCTATGTTTCGGCTTAAGTAGCCAACTTATGGCTAAAATATTTTACCCACAGATACACTTCTGTATACGAGTATCCGTGGGCGTCTCAACCATTTCGTGCGCTCGATGAGTGTCAAGAACTTGTCTTGGCCATAAAGAGAAACCGGCAGAAATGTGCACCAAATGCAACAGTCAAACAATTTTGATTTTAGTTTTGCAAAAAGTTTAACCAGTTTCCCCACTAGTTGACAGTTGGCAATTGAAGTCATTTTATGGCAACTTGCAGAATGAGGAATACGTTAACTGGCTGACAGCCAAATGAAAGAGTAGGCCGCAGCTCAACTAAAGGTTGCGATCATGGACCATGAGTAGTTGATGTTTGGCGGCTGAAGTGAAATAATTCAAAAACTAAACCTTAAACAATAAAACCAATCAACAAGAGACAAAGTCAATAAACTTTGGATGAGGTTAACCATCCCACAATCACAACAGACCTGCGCTCAGAACAAGTTATAACCGATTCTGCACCACGATCTTCAACTGATAACCCCCACAATACCAACTGCAAATAAAAATTCTGAGCTTGCGAAAAACACAAACAAATCAAAACTAGAAGTGCAGCAGTAAATGAGGGAGATATATACAAAAGCTATAGCCAAAGACTGAGGCGACTTTCAACAAAGCATCGCCTATGAACCTGGCAACCGGTTTTGGCTCCTCCATATAGACAACAAACAAATAGTGTAAAAATACACAACACAACACACAACCTGAGAGGCCATAAACCAAACGAGCGAGTCGCAAAGGGCAGAGTACTGAGAACTGCGACCGAGACTTGAGCCAGACTTTTGAGATACTCGCACTTTTGGGGTAGATACAAAATCGAGTTTCTCCGGATCCCAAAAGAAGTCCAGGAGCCTTTTGGTCAATGACTGGTAGAATTGCGGAGGGGCAGGGTGAAGTGGAGAACTCAGTTCTCCCCCTTCTGGAAACAGTTGACTTGACCATCATTATCATCATTCATTTTTCATGGCTGAGTGCCTGGCAGGCAGTTAGCTCTGATTGTTTACAGCTGCCGTAGTACAAGTTAAAATCTAAACTGGTTTTCCGCCCAGCTGTTAGCCCGGTCCCAGAAACTCAATATGCCCAGCACAGGATGCAGACAGCCGTCAAGTGGCTCAGCGGGTTGAGGTTGTGTTGACCAAGGAGTCACTGAGCCGATTGGCGAGCGGGTGCGGTTGAGTTTGACCCAAAACGCTTCTCGAAGACACCGTCTGCGGGTAAGAAAATGATGAAATTCTGGGGGCCCGAAAGCGCTTGTCTTTGTTCTGCTGGTCTTTTTTTCCTTTTTTTTTTTGGTGCTGTTGCAACTCATTATTTTGCGGTTGAAGAACCAACTTTTGTTATGGCGTTCAAGTGCATAAACATCTTCCTCTTTTTGCCTTTTTAAACGGTAAATGATATACACTGATGTTGTTGTCATGGCAAAATCTCAGAGGCATTTATACAAGTCCGAAGTCTTAGTCAGAGATCTTCAGCGAGATGAAAGCGGTTGGGTTCTTGTGGGTGATGAAATGTGATGATCGTATTTGCGGTCACCGGAGTGAGTGGGGCACTAAAAAAGAAGCTAACGGAACACTCGTTTCATAAAATTAATGGATGAGTATGCAAGAAGCGGGAGGTAAAAATACAGTGCGATTCAAGAAAAGAGATATACAAAATATTTTTAAGTAGTTGATACTGAAACCTACAATTAATCAAAAATCTACGAGGTATAGAAAATACATTTTCTAGAATAAGAAAAAATTGAATTTTAGTTCGTTCTAGAGTAAAAATTTTATAAATTAAAAGTGTTTCTTCTATTTGATGATTAAAAAAATATGTTTTATGAATTTATGAAAAACATTTTAACATACAAATACTTAAAAATATTTGACTACCATCACTTAATAAGTTAATATAGTTATTAATTTTCCCTATATCAAAACCTTTTTATAACAGCCTGATAAATATGAAACGTAATGTCTGCAAATGAAACATTATGAAAACGTTTACTTTTTGGGTTTCTTTTTAATTGAAGTTTGGGTCAGACGAGGAACTTCATTTCATTTCTTAACCGTCATTTCCATTTCTGTCAGTTATAATTAAAATTAATTTATTACCCCAAAAAAGTGAATTAAAAACTTCAATTAATTATGAAAAAATGAGATAACGAAGTAGAATGGAGTTCATTTACACAATCAGCTAATCAAATCACAATGCTGAGTCATGGCTTCGGAGAAGTTTCTCTGAGGTCTGAAAATACCAATTACATTTTCTGGAATCTTGTTGAGAAAATTCAATCCATACCATATACTCAATCATATCGATGCAAGCCCACAAACCCGACTTAAAATATACAAGTTTTTCAATTTGCCGCGATTTCCATATTCTTTGACAAATTTCGTTGCCAAGCAGGGGGAAAACTTAATTAGGCGTCTCTTTCTTGTTTGCCAGTGGGCAGCCTACTCCTCACCTGGCTCCCAACCTGGTTTTCCTCCATCGATACCGCCTCGTCGAGTGTTTGAGCAGGTTGTGTAATCTTTTGAGCTAAGCTAAAAAACAAACTTGGGCCTGACACTGTAGCTAATGCTAATTTGAAAATAATACAAGGAAAATTTAATAAATCTTTAGGAAAAAAGGTTGCCATAGGACTTTTATTCAGATCTTTCAGTAAAAAAGATTTATTTGCTTTTTCATCATAAAACTAATCATAAATAAGTATAATGAAATGAAATAAAATTTTTTAAGAACTTTCGAAACAAATACTAGTTGGGCAGACAAGATATGCTGATGTTTCTTAATTATTTAAAACTCCCAGCAACAGTCTCGGGTTTGAAACAAACTTTTAACGACTCTTTGTCGAGTTTCACCCATCTAATGAACTATTCCTCGCCCCGTCTAGACAAAAATCAATGCCAATCAGCATTATTATCTGGCCAAGGTGTTAACATTAGAAAAAATACAAATAAATAAATAATTAAACAGTAATTACGACATCTAATCGGTCGACAAGAGGTATGTAAATGCAAATCACAAGCGGCAACAAGAAAAAAAAGTTGACTAATTGCAAAGAATTTTGCGACAAAAGTGTAAGTGATAATTAGAAAGAGGGAGAGAAGCAGAAACGGAGACGGAAAAATAAATCAAAGAGTAGCAAACAACGCGTCGATAATTAAGAGTTAATTACAGCTTTTAAAAACATTTTGCGATTTCACTTTTTCTAATGCAGAAAAAAACAAACGATTTAGACTTGACCCACATATCAACACAGTGAGTAGTGCGAGAACGGAGAATTGAATAAAATTGAAAACCGAAATATCCAAAGTACTTGGCGCAGAGTTTGCTCATCAAGTGCGTTACGCCCCCGTGCGTGTTTCTCTCACGACCAAGACCCAATTTCCGATGACAAAAAGAAAACGAATTCTCATTGAGTCAACAGATTGAATGTCTTTTGCGTGGTGGTCTCGATTACAAAGGCAGAATCTAAAAAGCAGCCAGAAAATCTAACAAAGATCTTGGCGACAATTATAACTACATGAGCATGTTTCTACAAAAGCGCTGGCCTCAAACACGCAAATCTTGTTGGACTTTTGCTTATGTTTCTGCCCACTACACCAGCAGTGCACTTGAGGTAGTTCATCATGGCATGCCGCCTACGAAAATATGTGTTTTCAACATGGAAAGTCCATCGAAGGTCTCCTTTTCCTTGTCAAAATTATCTGCGGTTTAGCATTGGGGGAAATTCCTAGAAATCTACACTTAACATTGAGATTTAGACATTTAACCGTTTTAAATCATAATTGGTTGTCAAGTCAAAGTCTTTGTTTTTTTTGTGGTGCTTTTGTTAATTAAATAAGTGCGTGGATGATGTCGTCTCCATAATCAATTTCAATTGAAGGTGTCAAGCTAGGCCCAACTGAAATAGAAACTGACGTAGGCAGACTTTATTGTTTGCCATTCGAAAATTCTCCCAAGGAAGGTTATCTGTGTGATAGAATTTATACGAGTGGGAGGAAATCAAGGGAGCTCATTTAACAAAATATAGGGCAATTAAATTGAAAATTCTGATTTAACATTCTATTACAACTGGTATTGAATCTATTTCACTGCTTACCCAATTTAAAGGAATTTACTTAATCACTGTTGAATAGGCAGATTGACTCACCGAAACTGCAAATAGAAAGGGAAAAGGGAAATTAAGATCTTGTTTATAGTAAATGTGATTAATTGTTTCAACAATGTAGTCAAGTGCTAAAGGAAATGCCAATTTCATTATTTGCTTGAGACTTATTGTTAACGAGTCACGGGCTTATTTAAACTTAGAACAAATGCACTTGCTGAGTGTATGGAATAGAGACCCACCAACCTTCATTAATCTTAAAGGAGTTTATCAACTGAATGGTTAATCTGTCCCATTTATCTATCTAATCATGCTTAGATGTTGTATGCAAATAAACCACTCAATTTACATAGCGAGTTTCATGGTCCGCATAAAATATTCGCCAACAAATTTCTTCTCAGCGACACATGCTACTAGCAATTAACAAAATGTTTCTGTTTCTTTTATCGCTTTAAAGCCTAGCGATAAGGAAAACTATGAACTGATAATTATTGACCGTGATAAGAATATTGACTGGCTGGAAAAAGGAGGCAGAGGCAGAACAAACGAGAGAGAAATAGCGGAAGTAACACATTTGAGACGTATAGCAAACAAATCAGCTGATTCTTTCCAGTAGTTTGAGCTTAGGCTAGATCAAGAAACCCTAGAAATACATACACACAAAAGTGCTCCACGTTTACTATATGCCAATCTTTCCGACAGAAATTCTCAGAGAATTGTGACGCACTTCTCTCCCAATGCTAAATGCTAAATTTAACAATAGAAATAAATGTGTAGAGCGGCAATTTGTATTCTGCGTGAGTCTCTCCCCACAAGTTTTTGTTGAATAATCAGCTGATCGGACAATCTCTATGAGACACCTGCTCTTTCTGCTTGATTCTTCAACTTTGTTGGGGTTTTCTCGCCGGATTCATCTTAAAATTCGTCGGAATCATAAAATTTGTCACCCAATTTATTCGGAAGTTCACAAGCACTATGCCTTCAGCTTTCTTCAGTTTGTTTCAGGTTTATTTCACTTGATAACAAACCTGATTTCTCATCAATGACGTATTTACATTAATCGTAATCGGGGTTTTGACGTGTTTGTACCGCAGAGTTGAGTGATAAGACGGTGGCTATCTGCATTAGTCAAGTTCAATCAATCCTTAACTACAAATATCGTATTTTTTCTTTGTTAGTTACGGTAGTCTATCAAATTACCGTCAATATAAAATTTTATTGGGTAGATAGAACTTTGGCACATGGGTTCAGTTATAGGTTTTCAGTTTATTCTGATAATAACGAGGGTGTGTGTTTAGGCACTGTGGGACATGTGCGTTTGAGTGTTAAGACTCAACAGCTTATACTTGAATGTCGAGTATCTAAGGACGGAATATTTCTTGTTTGCTTAAGGGGCTAAAATTATTTCAAGTACTCGACTCAGTTTAGGAACATCAGATTGAGGCAATGACCCAAAAAATAAACATTCTTCGGGTAGGTCCGTTTATGTTTCAGAATAAACAACATAAAATAGTATAGGATATTACACAATCGAAAGGAACTGCGTAAATATTTAATTGGATCTAAACAAATGTATTAATGCTTTAAGATCACTCTTTTGTTTTAATATACTTTTCTGATACATATCATCTGGCATGCTTTTTCGTTCTTGACAGACACTCAACGTTTTCAGTTTGATAGTTTTTCTTTTTCTTTATTGCCACATTTCATGCAAATTGGTTTGGCCCCTCGAGGGTTGGTTGGGGTCACCTAACGGCTTTTTTATTGCTGTTTATTCGCCCGGACCCAAAACTTACTCGACTTCTCTTGAGACGAGGCCGCAAAAAGTTTTGCTCACTTCATAAAAAATTGCGCAAAACAAGGTAAACAATAAAGAAAACTACAAAATAAATACTTATAATAATAACATTTTAGGGTCCGTTAGGAAACCCCTTGTGGGGCCAATGTGGGTTACTTTTTTTATGACACTTCACTCAGGCCGAGTTAGAGATATGAAGATCCATATGCAAATTGCGAGTTGGCGTAGGAACCCAACGAAATCACACCTGAGGGCATCGCATAATTGTGTCACTGTGAGTGAATTTCATTAGAATTTCTGAGCAGGCTTTCATCAGAACAAGCCGGCACAAAAAAAAATTCATTTAATTTTCTGCCTCGAATTTGCATAAGCTGATGAGTTTTGGTTCTTTGTCAAGTAAATATTTATAAATATGAAATTTCAGTTTGGCAAACACAGTCTGATGATATTCTCATTCTTGATAGTGAACCAAATTGCATTCCCCTGTCCCATAAATAACAAAGTGCTTTAGAATTGCTAATATCTTCATTAGGCGCTTTTCAAAGAAAATTATAAAACTAAGAAGTCAAATCATTTAGCTTTCAAAAACCTTTAAAATTATTTGAGTCCCACAGCCTTCAGCATTTGAATTTAATTAATTGCGTTTCTCAAATCCAATTAGCACCCAAAGTAAACTTTCGAATGCTGATATGTAAAGATCATTCGATAACCTTCTCATGGAAATGAAAGATGAGTTTCGGAGCCCAAGAAATGAATGTTTTTTTTGGGGCTGCGGGCGAAGACAGAACATCACTTGAGTGAAATGGAAAGCTAAAAGCAAAACAAAAACCCACAAAACGTGTTGCAAATTGTATGCAGGCCAAGAAAAAAATAAGACAAGCACTCTGGCAATGATTAACAGAACCGAAAAGATTAATAACAATGGTTAGGAGACCCGAGACAACCACGCGTTGATTAGCCGGCCCTAGGGTAACATAACAACTGAGGAAAGTATCTGAAAGATACGGGAGAGTGTGGCGAGAAATTTCACTGCAGCATGTTTTTTTCCGCCTGGTATCTCAATCGGATTTCGTGAGTGACAAGAGTTTAGTCAGCTTTAATGTGAGCCAGCAGATTTTAATCTTCATTTAGTGCCGCTGATCGTTATCGATCGCTGGAATCGCAAATGGCCTGGCATTATAAATTGGCCTAGTCTGGTTCTTCGTTTTGTTTCATTCGCCCACTGGCTTGTGTTCTTCTCTTCTTTGTTTTTCCTCTATTGATTGTTCTTGAAATATGTTTGACTTTGAAAGGCAGAGGCAAAAAACAAAATTAGAATACGAAATCCGTTTACGTCTATCCTCGACCAGAATCTTTGAGTAGATACTCAGGGCATAAGGTCATAAAATCGATAGTTGTTTTTAGAAACACAGTTCTAATGGTATTTTAAGTTCATAAACTTGTCCAATGAGATTAAATGCCTTACAAAATAGCAATGTCTCTATGGATTTCCTCACTTTTAATAACAGGTGTCTAGAGCGAGCTTCTCTCGTACTAAAAAATAATCTCATCTGCCGGCTGATGCATTAAAATTTTGTTTATAAACACTCGGGAGTGTTTTAAGAGAGATTAGCGAAATTTGAGAGAACGTAAACATTTGTCAAAAAGTGTGATATAATACTAATTATAAAACACGATTATACATTAATTCAAACAATAATTTATACTTAATGTCAATGTACTCGGCGAATATGTAAGGCAGAATTAATTTATATTGTTTTAAATGAAATAATCAGCAACAGCTGAGATCGCTTATAATGACTAGCAAATTGCTAACAATGTTAAAATGTTTAGGTATTATTTCAGCGCCATATGGGAAGCTTTCTTTGTTACAAAATTAGTAATTTAAAACTTATTAAATCATTTGTTGATTATTGGACTATCATAACAAAATGAAAAAGGTGTCGTTTTTCAAGCTTCTTAGAAGAGTTTACTAACATCTGGGCAACTATAATTAGGTTACTAAGGAAAGTAAACATGTTTGTAGGATTGAATTTACTAGATATTCTACCTAGGATTTCATTACCTAAATTTCATTAAAGCTAAATTTTGGGCTTTAAGAAATAAATGGGATTTATTCGGTTCGAAAAAAAAAGTTCTCTCAAGCATTAAGATAAGGTCAGCCTAACAAATATGTAATAGAAGAACCTTCATATTTTAACACAAACCCTCCAATTCCACATTTCTATTCATGATTTCCTTAATTGAAATTTTATCCTTTTATTTTTATCCCTTAATACTCAATCTCCTCTTGTGATTTCCCACTCTTTTGTGCTCAGATTTCAATGGTTTTGCCGCTCTCAACTTCTATTTATTGCCAAGGACATTATTGCAAAAGTTCTCATACACGCACACACACACACTCTCAAACTCGCATCCTTGATGCTGCACAACTCTCTCTCTCTAGCTCTCTCACTCCATCTCTCTTCCTCTCTCGTTTGCGACAGAAAAAAACTTCGTTTTGGAGTTTCGTACTTAGATCTCTCACATCTCTCGCATTATTGTTGCTTTTCGGGGGGGTGGGGAAACCGAAAACTCCACGAATGTGTATACCTTTATGACAGACCAAAATTCACATATATTTCGTACCTTCTTTCGTCTGCAATCTCCGGATCTGTGGCTCTGTTTTGGTTTCTGGTTTTCTCAACTTATTGCACACCAAATCACCGATTTTCCTGTTATTTTTGTTAAACTGTTAAACACTTTAGCATCAGCTTTGCAATGCTAATTATTACGATCAGAAACTTTAAGCGGCTTCAATAATTTGCAATTGAATTTGATTAATTAAGCGGGATTTGTGTTTGGTTGCTATTCCATTCATTGAACAAAAATCGCGTTGACTTTGATTTACCGTTGCGTCGACGAATTTCACTTTCGACTTGCGAGCGTTGTGAATTGGAAATTTTGATGTGGGATATTATTCGATTTCGATTCCGAGTTTTGAACGCCTGCAGTTCTCCAAACGAGCCTCAAACAATGCGCCCGAACAGAAAATATTGAACCTCCGCTGGTTTTTCTTTTCCAACTCGTCCGCTCCGCACAACCGCACAAGCGCGAGATTTTGAAGCGAATGAAAGGCACAAACCGAGCACACCGAATAAACCGAACGGTCCGAGTGGAGCAGCTGCAGCGCAAAACCAGAAAGCAAAAGCAACCCCAACCATCAGAGCTGCCACGGTTTTGGCTCGGAAAAAGCTAGTTCTGGCGGGAAAAAGTATGTGAGTAATAATTTACATCAAAAATGAAAATTAAAATGTCAATAGTATTAATAATCATAAAATTCCTTGACGTAAGGTTGGGACAGCCTATGAAATTCAAATAAAATTATACGATTAAAATTGAAATATTTGGCTTACTATAATATATATAATATATAAAAAATTTGTATTCACTAGTTACTATAAGTTTCTATTGTTATATGATTAAATATTGTTATTTTATTTAATGGAACAAAACCATCGTGTTACCCCCGAGAAAAAAATTCAACAGTTCTCATTTATAATTTAATATATATACTTTACTCTTATATACTGAATACGGTTTGATTAATTCATACTTAACTAACTTAACATAACTTTTTTCTTATTAGCCTTATATCTTAATACCGCTGATATATTGGCATCACTGCCGAACAACAACACAATGATGCGTGGCAAACGCAAAGAGAGCGGAAGAGATAAGAGAGAAACGCAAAGTAAATAAATATCTGGAGAGAGAGAGAGATTATAACCGAGAGAGTACGTTCTTGTTTATTGTTGTTGCGTTTGCTTTTGCTGTTGGGGACTAACTATTGTTGTTGTTGTAAGTGCCACGGCATTGAGAACAAAGCACAGTGGGAAGATTGACATTTGTTAAAGAGGGGCTTAGGACTTTATTCACATTACAAATATTGCTTGAAATAACCATTTTAAAATTATTTTTTGAAGTTAAAATAAAGATTAAAAACTCTAAACTTTAAATTACATATTTTTTAATTACCGGAAAAAAAAATATCTTATTTTTGGCTAATATTTGGGCTAGTTCATTCATTCAGTCAGTTGCCATATGTGCATCCTTCATCTGTGGTAGTTCTCACAAACTTCCCCGTTGGAAGTTCCACCCCAGCAGTTCCAATTTCCAAATCCCCCAACAAACCACAACAAACACTACAAAGCCCACATTAAATATGAATTAACATTAGGCAGATCGATCATGTTGCATGCCGCAATCTCAAGTGAAACCACCCTCATGGGTGTGCGTAATGACAGCTCATTACTTGGTTATTTGGGAGGGAATGCGAAACATGAAACTTGAAGCACGAGGCGTTTCCGACAAGATACCCGCATTCGACCGATGGCCATTGAAATTGCATTATTACGAGGTTGATTGGCCTTCCCCCAAGAGACACCCACCGATCGAATTCAAATACCACCCCTTGGCTATTGATAATTGTAATTTTCCAAGGAAAATTTGCTGATCTTGAAATATCAAAAGGCAGCGACACTCCAAAAGGTAATGTCAATATGCAAACACATCTATGCCCCACTCCAAGCAAACACAAAAAGTAAAAGCAAACATACAAACTCTTTCTTTCTGGCTGTTTTACTCTCTCCCTCTCTCTCTATGCTTGCTCTCCTGCTGTTAACAGCGCTGCGGGTGGTTGCCTTTAAATCGCACTGTTAACCTAACAGGGTTACTGTAAACAACAGTTTAATTTTAAACGCGCTTAAATAATAACATAATTAATGACTAAAATTGATATAAAGCCGGAACTGCTTTGGTTTGACATTTAGCAATCGGTACTGATAATGCGTCAACAAGACAAAGAAATCGAGGTCTCGCAATCTTCTGCGGCACATTTCAGTTCTTATCAAAAAAAAGAAAGAAAATACAGAAAAAACAACCAGCAGCCTCAACAGCAACAACAATTTGTTTATTCAAATTACAACATGCCAACAGCTGGAATTAGAAATCAAAAGACACACAGACCAAAGCCACCAAGCCGAAGTTCTTATACCCTCTCAACTTAAAGGAAAAGTCCGAAGATTGTATCTACAGCATATATATCATAATGTTAACCGATATCAAAAAATCTATCTATATGTACTCACTTATGTTAAAAAATAATCTAGTTTAAGGTAAATTTCAAAATCTCTTAGTCGTTGTTTAATTTTGTAGGTGTTAAACGATTGTTGATGTTGAATATAAGTAGTAAGATCCGAAATTAATGGACCATATTGGTACAAAATACCCTCTGTAAGAGTATAAGAAGACCAAGCCCCAAGAAAACAAGAAACCAAAACAAGCTCACAACTTCACATGAGAAAACATCAGCAGGAAAATTATTGAGGATACGTCTCTGAGATTTATCGTACAAAATCGATGATAAAACGCGATGAAGACATATGGTTTAGCTGACTTCAAAATGCTGTCGACATGACGGATCGACTCGCCTGCATATCGAAATGGGGCCTGCCTTAAACTCCGGGAAAGTAAAGATAAATAAATATGCTTAAGAACCGAGTGAAGAAATTTCAGGCGGTAATAAGAGGGCATTCTATAAAAAGAGCTCAATTTAAGTTATAATTTAGATTGTTAATATGATGATATAAAATATGAATTTTTTAAAGAATTGAATATGGAATCTTAAAACTAGTTTCCTTAAAGGAAATATAAGGATTATGCTATTATTTATGTTCCTCTCATCTAAATTTAGAAGGTAGGATTCTAAGCTCATTTATTTTCTTGTCATCTGAAAAATCTAGTTTAGAAGGTTAGCAACAACAAAGCGATATGACCTTAATATTATCAAATAACATATTTCCCACTCATTTTTTACCACTTCCCGAATGCAACCCATTTGCGACCCTACTTGTAAAGAAGTTCTATCCAGAACTCTCCCACAATTCATAATTGCGTCCACACCATCATAGTGAAGTTGTCAGAGACCTGAATCTTAACACATCAACAGATTCACCCGGGCCAAAAAACGCATCTTGAATGATAAGTCAAAACAGCAGAAAATAAGTAAGAAAAACTTAAAGACAGGCAACCACTTCCATTAGGGAGAGACTAAGGGAACTGGAGGCCCCACAGCAATGTTGAATGTTTTGGACATATCTTTTGCTTACAACACTTACGACAGGAAGAAATCCATCAACACGATTCTTTTGGCCTAGGCCTGCCTTCGGGCCAAAAGACTTTCCACAAGAAAAAGTCCAAGAGAGAGAAAAAAAATAAACATTAAATAAAAGTTGCATTCAACACTCGCTTTCTTTGCGAGTCATGTTGTAATGGTCGCTGGAGGGCCCGCAGACGACTGGTCGACCCTTTAGCGTTAGTTAAACCCTGCACTCTAAAAAAATGGTGACCAATTTGGACGATTAACTTGCATTTATGAAGATTTTTAGTCTAATAAGCACAACATTTCTTTAGATTTTTCTATTAAAGCAATACAAATTTACGAAATACGTACATTTACTAAAGTAAAATATTAACTATATTACATAATATATAAAAATAATAAGTAATTCCTTCTAAAAAATTTTTTTTTTTTAATTTTTTAATAAATATACATTAAAGTAATAAAATCTTTAAGAAAAAGGATTTTATTTCTTATTTTAAAAAATGTTTAATGCATTTCGAAATGAATTTTTACATTTTTCCTAGTGTTTTAGCGCCTTAACGGCCTAAAGCCCATTTTACACTGTCACGGGAAATTGTTTGTTTAACATGCGCGGTGCGTTTAAAATTACATGATGAGCAGCATTTATCAAAAAAACATAAAGAAATCAAAACAACCAAATGGGTGTGATGAAACGGGAGGGGGTTACGGGGGATTAGGGTTGGGGAGGGGGTGCCAGTGCAGCTGCATTGTCTGCGCCTGATCTTGCAGATCCTACGCACTTTCTGCCTCCACTCTTTTCCCTCGATTACATGTATATTTAGCTGCCTGTCTGGGGTCGTCGTCGGGGTCTTGATTCAATCGAAGGAACGACGAGACAACGACCCCCTTTGCACCCCTGCCAAACCCACGCCCCTGGCCAATGGCAATCATTATCATTGGCGTTGGGCTCCGGTCTTGTCTGGCGACCTATGCTGATTTCTCGGAAAGAAATTATGATATTTCTTGCGGTCACTCGATGATGAGTTGCCATTGTCTCATCGCTTCTCGAAGCGAAGAAAAGAACTTCTGGCTTCTGTTGATTTTTCCACGGATACCTCCCACTCTCACAAAATTAATGGTAGACGGGCGTCTTATTACTTAATTGAACTGATCGGAAGAAATAGTATAATTGGAACTGACTGCAGAGCTGCAGTTTGAAATCTTCGGGCGAAAAGGTGATGGAAGAAGTCAAAACTTCGAACTCTTAAATTAGCAATACATATTCTTCATTCTTTATTTACATTTATTCATTAATATTTTTGTTTAGTCACACAATGATGAATACATTTTGAAATAATTATTAAGTAATTGTTCTAGATAATTGGGAAGTTCCCATGGATTGTGTTTTTTATGAGTTGCTGGTATCTGGTTTTATTAATAATTTTATAAAAAATTTAACTAAATTGCTAAATATAAACAAAAATAAAATTTAAACAACACTTTAATTTTTTCCCTTTATATTCTCCGAGTCAATACCATAGTTGAACAAATACTAATCATTGTTAGATTGCTAACAAATCATTCCGAATACTTAATCACACTTTAATTCACAGATTCCATTGCAGTGACTCAGTCCTGATACCAAGTCCAATTGTAATGGGATAATTAAAGCTCATTATGATCAGCGAATGAAAAAAACTTTGCCAAAAGAGTCCGTCTCCAGACTTGTGTTCCACTTCCTTGGCTCTGGCTCCATAAATATCCGAGCCGCCAGCGGAACGTAAATCTTCATTTAGTCTGGTTTGTTCCGAACTTTCCCTTTCCCCAGCTCCTTTCCTTTGGGGAAGTTCCCCATGCCCAAAGTTACGCCCTTTGTGGATAGTTGCTTGAGCCGCAGTAAAATTATATTCCCTCACCGCACCGCAAATGTTGACAATTAATCACAATGAGTAGGGCTACGGGTGTATGTGGTCATACAGTGCGTGGCAAGTCAATAAAACT